GCTTCCTAAACTGAGTCTTGGGGAGACAGTAGGAGTTGTCTGGAAGGAGGGCAGAGAGAGGGAACAGTGTGTCTGAAGGCAGGAAGAGCAGAGAGAACACGGTACCATGGGGAGCAGGGAGAAAGCTCAGCCCAGCTGCAGAGCTGTGGGGTGTGGAAGCTCAGGAGGCAGGAGGTGAGGACCAGATCACCGGCCTTTCCTGGCCTGCTCGTTACGGTGGAATCCAGGGTTGGTACTGGTGGCATTTCTGTCTGACAGGCAGATACTTTAAATGTGGATGGAGGGGATAGCATGTTCCCACCAGGGGCGGGGCAGAGGATAAGTCTGCAGAAAGTCTTTCCTGCTTCTCCATTCTTCCCTTCAGCATCTTTTCCTAGGGCAGTGGTTCTCAACCTTCCTAATGCCACGACCCTTTAATACAGTTCCTCATGTTGTGGTGACCCCCAACCATAAAATTATTTTCGTTGCTACTTCATAACTGTAATTTTGCTACTGTTATGAATCGTAATGTAAATATCTGATATGCAGGATATATTTTCATTGTTACAGATTGAACATAATTAAAGCATAGTGAGTAATCACAAAAGCAATATGTAATTATATATGTGTTTTCCGATGGTCTTAGGCGACCCCTGTGAAAAGGTCTTTCAACCCCCAAAGGGGTCTCGACCCACAGGTTGAGAACCGCTGTCCTAGGGCTTCCACCAAAGTGCAGTTTGTTGTGCCACCCGTGCAAATCGCCATCTTGTGGACAACCCAGGGATTACAGATCTAGGAATGACGTTCCTAATTCATTAGTTTGATAAACATTTTCTAATAATACAAATGAGCCAAAGTGCTGGGACAAGGCGCTCTCGGTCCAGAGGAGAGAAGAGAAATGCATACAGATAGTCACCCCAGCTTCAGTTTGGTTGGCCTTCATTTTAAAGGGTCCCCCTTCTGGGGCTCTAGAAATGGCCTCTGCAGGGTCTGATCTGCTGCTCCTGTCTGTCCCTGTGCAGCACCACCTCGGCCGTTCGTCCAGCCTGCCTTCTGGTGCAGTAATCTCTCCCCTCCTCAGTATTCCATCGGAGATAAACTGAAAAGCACCAAAACCCTCCCTAGGGAGGATACTGTGCTTAAGCCAGGATCTTGGCCGACCTGGGAAGAGGGCACAAGGTGTGTGTCTGTCCTCAGGGACTAGCATACTTCTTGGCACATGGGTGCTTTGTGACATGAGTGAGGGCAGGAGAGGCGGGTGGCACCTGAGAGGTCAGTCCAGCTTTCCTGTGGACTTACCCAGAGTTGAGCCTAGTCTGTGACCATAAATTGAGGTCACTGAATACCCAGCTAAGGAGTTTGTCTTCCTTCTGCCGGCAGGAGGAGCCAGCCCTGTTTGTGACAGAGAAGGGACAGGAGAGGAATATAGGTTAGTTTCATTGTTTTTCAAAGAGAGAAAAATGTTCTTAGTCAAAGGTCATACCCACCCCCAGAAAGCTGTCAATGTCACTAGCAAAGAACTAGGTCTTCCATATATCTTGGTTACTTTGTTTCTGAGCTTAATAATTAAGCCATAGGTGTACAGGATAAATAGAGGCTGTCCTGTGATAAGCTCCCAGCACTTGAGAGACAAGCATTGTCTTTGTGATGAACTACTGACTTTCCTTCCGTCATGTCTCCGGGACTCTGGAACCCTTGCTGAACACAGGGGCTAAACACAGTAACCCTTCCTAACCCCAGGTTCGGGT